CCACATGACCCGGAAGCTATCTGAGGACAATCGCCGGCTCCCTCAGCCAATAAAGCGAGATGAGCGGCGCAACCCCAGAGTCGGTCACGACTGGACCTAATGGTCAGGAGTCCCTTTACCATTACCTACAGATCTACAGCACAGGGGTGGGCGACATTTCTCAGCCCGAGGGCCTGATTCCCTTTTGCGCAGCTTTCTGGGGGCCACAGGCCAGCGGTGGGCAGGGCCAGAGGCAGAAGCAGGCAGGGCAACAAATGAAAACCTTACCTTTGTGCAGGAGGCTAGTTTCTACGCACACTCCCTCTCTCCTCCATCCTAGGCAAACCTCAGCAGACACACCCCACAGCCAGGGCAAGAACGTGGTGCCAAGCAGGACCAGTGAGGGTGTGTGGCCTGTGGAGGATCCTGGGGGCCAGCGAGGACTACATCTGGCCCCTGGCTTGAGGTTCCCCACCCCTGCTTCAGCAGAAGCGCCAGAGGCTTGAGGGGTTCGTTGGCCAGTTTGCGCCAGTACGAGACGTTCAGGCACATCCTGCTCTACTGGCCAGATGCCCTTCTAGTCCCAGAACCCTCCTTGTTGTTGTTGTTGTTTAGTTGTTTAGTCGTGTCCGCCTCTTTGTGACCCCCTGGACCAGAGCACGCCAGGCACTCCTGTCTTTCACCGCCAGCAATAAAAGTAATAAAATGTTCTTGGGAAGGCTGGTAGAGAGGACCAGAGGACAGAAACGCTCCGATGTTATTTAGAGCTCTTGTGGTGGGGTTGTTGAGACAGTCTTCACCTGCAGCCAAGTTGTTGTTGTTGTTTAGTCGTTTAGTCGTGTGCGACTCTTCGTGACCCCCTGGACCAGAGCACGCCAGGCCCTCCTGTCTTCCACTGCCTCCCTCATGCTGGTAGCTTCCAGAACACTGTCCCACCATCTTGTCCTCTGTCGCCCCCTTCTCCTTGTGCCCTCCATCTTTCCCAACATCAGGGTCTTCTCCAGGGAGTCTTCTCTTCTCATGAGGTGGCCAAAGTCTTGGAGCCTCAGCTTCAGGATCTGTCCTTCCAGTGAGCACTCAGGGCTGATTTCCTTCAGAATGGAGAGGTTTGATCTTCTTGCAGTCCATGGGACTCTCAAGAGTCTCCTCCAGCACCACAATTCAAAAGCATCCGTTCTTCGGCGATCAGCCTTCTTTATGGTCCAGCTCTCACTTCCATACATCACTACTGGGAAAACCACTGGGAACAACCCTCCTAACCCATTACAAAGAGAAACAGCCCTCTCCACACCGCCTCTGCCTCAGGACTCCTCTTTTCTCCAGCCACCCATTTCCCGAAGCTCTCCTTTCCCTGACGCTTGTCTCCCTTGACCTCCTATGCCCTGTTCCTTCTCTGCAGCCTGCCCAGCAGCTCCCCTGCACAGATTTATGATGGGGATGGAGATACAGCCCGAAACGGCAGTCCTGGCCTGAGAACATGAGGAGAGCCTGACGGATCAGGGCCATGGCCCATCTAGTCCAACATCCTCTTCTCAGATGCAAGCAGGAGTCGAGCACAAGAGCATCGCTCCCTTCCTGAGGTTTCCAACAATTGGTACCTCCAATTGTGGAGGCAAAGCACAGCCTTTGCGACTAGTAGTCATCGCTAGACCTCTCCTCCTCCATTGTCTAATCATCTTTTAAAACATCCAAGTTGGTGACCATCCCTGCCTCCTGGGGAAGTGAGTTCAGGGTGGGGTATAAATAAATTATTATTATTATTATTATTATTATTATTATTATTATTATTATTATTCCTATTGTTCAGCCCAGACACCAGGTCCAGTTCCGAGGACTTTCTGTCAGTTCCCTCACTGCGAGAAACGAAATTACAGAGAACCAGGCAGATGGCCTTCTCGGTGGTGGCGCCCGCCCTGTGGAACGCCCTCCCATCAGATGTGAAGGAAACAAACAATTACAGTGGTACCTCGGGTTAAGAACTTAATTTGTTCTGGAGGTCCACTCTTAACCTGAAACTGTTCTTAACCTGAAGCACCACTTTAGCTAATGGGGCCTCCTGCTGCCGCACAATTTCTGTTCTCATCCTGAAGCAAAGTTCTTAACCCGAGGTACAATTTCTGGGTTAGCGGAGTCTGTAACTTGAAGCGTCTGTAACCCGAGGTACCACTGTATCTGACTTTTAGGAGAAAGTTTTAGGGAAGTTTAGGGAAGTTTTTAATGTTTAATGCTGTATTGTGTTTTTAATATTTGGTTGGAAGCCACCCAGAGTGGCTGGGGAATCCCAGCCTGATGGGCGGGTAATAATAATAATAATAATAATAATAATAATAATAATAATAGTTTAACCGTGTGCTGTGTGAAGAAGGACTTCTTTTTATCTGTCTTCAATCCTTCAACATTCATCTTTGTTGGACATCCATCAGTTCTGGTGGTCCACCCCCTTACTTAAAGGTTTAAGTTGGCCTTTGCTAACATGGCGTCTTTCAGGTGCTGCTGGACTCCCACTCGGTCGCAGCCAGCATGGCCAATGGTTAGGGAGCGGCAGCCCAAGACAAGTGGAGGGGGCCTCGGGTTGGCAATGGCTGGCCGAGGCAATTCGCTTTGACGGGCCAGCAGGGGAGTTTATAAAACGATCAGATTAATAGCTGGCATAAATCAAGTGCTCGGCAGGATTAATGAGGTTTTTAACAGAGCCTGCACCTCAAGACCGCATCAGGCAATAAAAAGGCGCACTTGTGAGTTGTCGTCACAGATGAAAAATGAGGCGACCCAGGGGGTAGGCGGAGGGAGGAGGGAGGGGGCGGGGATGATCCATGAATCACACTTGTTGTTCGGAACAGAACTGAGAGGAGAGACGAACGCAGGAAAAGATGCGCTTGGGAATCCCCCTCTTTTTGCTGCATTCCAGTGTCAGGCGCCTCCCGAAGCCCCTTTCATGCAGACAGGCCTATGCAGCTGTTTACTCTTCTTCCATCATTTTAACAACCGTTCTGCTTTGTTTTTATGGGATCTTCATTGTTAGACAGATTGGACGGATTATAAATCTTCTAATAATAGAATTGCCTGTATTATTAGTACACTGCCTGGGTATTTTATGTGAGTTGGTGGCATATATATTGTTGTTGTTGTTGTTTAGTCGTGTCCGCCTCTTCGTGACCCCCTGGACCAGAACACGCCAGGCCCTCCTGTCTTCCACTGCCTCCCGCAGTTTGGTCAAACTCATGCTGGTAGCTTCGAGAACACTGTCCCACCATCTTGTCCTCTGTCGTCCCCTTCTCCTTGTGCCCGCCATCTTTCCCAACATCAAGGTCTTTTCCAGGGAGTCTTCTCTTCTCATGAGGTGGCCAAAGTATTGGAGCCTCAGCTTCAGGATCTGTCCTTCCAGTGAGCACTCAGGGCTGATTTCCTTAAGAATGGAGAGGTTTGATCTTCTAGCAGTCCATGGGACTCTCAAGAGTCTCCTCCAGCACCAGAATTCAAAAGCATCCATTCTTCGGCGATCAGCCTTCTTGATGGTCCAGCTTTCCCTTCCATACATCACTACTGGGAAACCATAGCTTTAACGGCATATATATACTTTGATTAAATTAAAAAAATAAATTCTGGGGCATGGGGAAGGCTGGCTTCCAGCAACTGGCATTCCGAAGCGTTGCTGCCTTCAACTGTGGAACGGTTTATCTTAACGCCTAAGGGGTCCAAGTACATCAGGCTGGAGGAATAAGCCACCTCCAGCACAGTGGAAAACTCCAACTTCTAGAAAAAAACATACACAACTTCTAATACTGTCAGGAAAGCAGCATTTTCCCTCTGCTCAGGGCAACTGTTGACGTTGCTGCATTCTCGATCTCGCATCCTTCAAGCGGTGCATAAAGAACCAAAAACCCCCGGACATGGCTATTGATCTGCTTGGCAATTCCAGGGAGAGAGATTACCAAGGCGCTCTATCTTCAGATTCTCATTATCGCAGAGATAGATGATGAACTAAATGAAGCCTCACACAAGACAGGAAGCATTCAGGCAGCCGGTGCTATTATTGGAAGATTTATAATCCGTCTAATCTATTTAACAATGAAGATCTCGGAAGCGATGGGACCTCTCCGCCGATTCTCAGCGAGGACCGTTAACTGAAAGACCACCAGTCCCTGTCGTAGCATATATAGCATCACTCAGATCAGGGATGGAGAACCGGAGATGCAACAGGTGATGTTCGACTGTAACTCCTATCATCCCTGGGCACTGCCCATGAAGGCTGTGGATGATAGGAGCTGGGAATTCAACAGCAGCTGGGCAGCCACAGATGTTCCACCTTCCCAGCTTAGATTACCTGGGGAAATATTACTTGCAGACGTGCACCCTACGGAGCATTGCACCTGGCATTCTTGACTGCCCTTCCCTCTGCCATATGGGAAGCATAATAATAATAATAAAATTTTATTTATATCCCGCCCTCCCCAGCCGAAGCCGGGCTCAGAGCGGCTAACAACAGTAAAATACCACAACATTCTAAAATCATTTCATTATAAAATCAGTTCAAATCAAATTAATGGCAACCAGCGGGCTAGAGTTCTGTCAGGCTGTTCCGCCTGGCCTTTGGTTTGGACTCAGTCTGACCCTTCTGTTTCCCTCCCTTATGGTTTTGATCTATGGGCTACTTTTAAAATGAGGCTGCATTTTAAATTGCATTTTAACCTGTATTTTAAATTGGTTTCCCCCCCCCCTATTATGTTTTTACTGTAATTTTACTGGTGTTAGCTGCCCTGAGCCCGGCTCTGGCCGGGGAGGGCGGGGTATAAATAAAATTTATTATTATTATTATTATTACAAGTTAGCCAGGTTCCTGATAGAAAAGGGAATCAGGGGGTTCATGGGGAAGGGACCTTGGTTACCTTTTCAGCCCTTCAACCTTGACTCTGAACTGTGTCTTCCCCCAACCCTGAGAAAGGACCACAGTAAGAGACCAACGCAACAGCAGCCAAAACGAGTTCAAACCGAAGCAACCTGTGCCCTTGAGCCGCTCTTACCACAAACTGGTCGATGTCTCTCTCGAGTCCCATGTTGGGCAGGTCTGGCATCATGTGTGCCACCACTTTGAACCCAGCGTCTTTGGCTAGGTGGAATGATTCGCACACAGCCTTCACCGTATGGCCCCTGAGAAGCGGGGAGAGGAGGAAATGAGGGTTAGAAATGTGGATGCACACACAGAAGCAAGCATCTCATAAGAACATAAAAAGAGCCCGCTGGATCAGGCCAATGGCCCATCTAGTCCAGCATCCTGTTCTCACAGTGGCCTTCCATTTTTATTTCATTTTTTTTCTTCCATAGTGGTAATTTTTCTTCAATGACAATGGTGTTTTTTTGGCCAAAAAAAAATGTTACTTGACAAAACCTTTAAAAAGCAAAACTGGACAACTCAATTTCTTAGCACAGTTAAAAAAAACAAATTTTGCCCCCCAAAACAGTTTTTCTCTCATTTCTCCACCTTCTTCTTCCACACCCCTAATATAAAGGACATTATTGCTTATTTAACTTATATGCAGAATTCATCATGCGAAAGGCTGGGCTGGATGAATCCCAAGGCGAAATTAAGATTGCTGGAAGAAATATCAACAACCTCAGATATGCAGGTGACACAACATTGATGGCAGAAAGTGAGGAGGAATTAAAGAACTTCTTAATGAAGGTGAAAGAGGAGAGCGCAAAATATGGTTTGAAGCTCAACATCAAAAAAACTAAGATCATGGCCACTGGTCCCATCACCTCCTGGCAAATAGAAGGGGAAGAAATGGAGGCAGTGAGAGATTTTACTTTCTTGGGCTCCATGATCACTGCAGATGGTGACAGCAGTCACGAAATTAAAAGACTCCTGCTCCTTGGGAGAAAGGCAATGACAAACCTAGACAGCATCTTAAAAAGCAGAGACGTCACCTTGCCAACAAAGGTCCGTATAGTTAAAGCTCTGGTTTTCCCAGTAGTGATGTATGGAAGTGAGAGCTGGACCATAAAGAAGGCTGATCGCCCAAGAATGGATGCTTTTGAATTCTGGTGCTGGAGGAGACTCTTGAGAGTCCCATGGACTGCAAGAAGATCCAACCTCTCCATTCTGAAGGAAATCAGCCCTGAGTGCTCACTGGAAGGATAGATCCTGAAGCTGAGGCTCCAATACTTTGGCCACCTCATGAGAAGAGAAGACTCCCTGGAAAAGACCCTGATGCTGGGAAAGATGGAGGGCACAAGGAGAAGGGGACGACAGAGGATGAGATGGTGGGACAGTGTTTGGAAAGACTGAGGGCACAAGGAGAAGGGGATGACAGAGGATGAGATGGTTGGACAGTGTTCTCGAAGCTACCAGCATGAGTTTGACCCAACTGTGGGACGCAGTGGAAGACAGGAGTGCCTGGCGTGCTCTGATCAATGGGGCCACAAAGAGGCGGACACGACTAAACAACAACAACATTGCGCCTTTAAAGAACTTTACCAAGGTGTCCAGATAATGTACCGTCACTATATTATTCTGCATTTGCAAGCTGCATGTTCATGTTCATGTAGCCATCGACAGAGACGAGGTAGAAGAAGAAGAGTTTGGATTTGATATCCCGCCTTTCACTCCCCTTCAGGAGTCTCAAAGCGGCTAACATTCTCCTTTCCCTTCCTCCCCCACAACAAACACTCTGTGAGGTGAGTGGGGCTGAGAGACTACAGAGAAGTGTGACTGGCCCAAGGTCACCCAGCAGCTGCATGTGGAAGAGCAGAGACGCGAACCCGGTTCCCCAGATTACGAGACTACCGCTCTTAACCACTACACCACACTGGCTCACCACTACACCTTTGTATTCCCCCCCTCACTTCAGCTTCACCACCACTGGCTTCCCAGTCAGCCTGTTTTGACTGAGAGGCAGACACACAGCAACCAGACCAACGTATGGGCGGCTGTGGCAACAAAAAAATTACTGGCGGGCAGCACTGGTGTGCCCACCAAAGCTCCAAAAAGAAAAAGCCACACAGTGGCCATTCAGATGTCTGTGGGAAACCAGTAAGCAGGATTCGAGCACAAGAGCAACTCTTCCCTCCTGTGGTTTCCAACAACTGGGATACAGAAGCACCGCTTTTCTTTTTGGGGCTGATCCAGCAAAGACTCTTCTTAATGTTCTGATGTACTATAACCAAGTCTTAAGCCCGAGGCACCACATAAATGAAGCCACAGGTTCCGCTCCTGCCTCCAACAGTTTTCTCCTTTGCGTATTTTTAAAGATTTGTTGGCATCTTGGGAGCAGGGACCTGGCTTCTCATTCTTTCCCCCCATTCATTATAAAGCCATGAACAGAAGCAGAACACGCGAACCAAAACTGAACAGCTGGGACTTGTATTTTGCACCATTTGAAAGCAAACAAACAGATACTGAACCTCATACCTTAAAGGCTTTCATTTCCTTGAACGACCGAAGCATCGCCATTGCCCCGCGGATAAAATGCCGTGGCGGGCTTTGCAGAATGAATAGAAAGGCTGTCTCCCATTCACATTGTTACAATTCCCACCTACCCCAAATTCTGCGGGATAGCCAGCCTCATAGAACCAATGTGCTTAAGCCTAATTAACACATGAAGGAGTGAATTACCAGAGAGTAAGTTGCTCTGCTAGACTTAGTTATGTCCACTTCCCCTCACCTTGAGGGGACTGTTCTCCCTCAGTCTACCTGACAAGCTCACCATGTGAGGAGGCCTGAGGTGGCTGCTCCAGTTTAGACCACATGGCTCTCACAAGCCACTCTTGAGTTCCCATACAAATACAGTGGTACCTCTGGATGCAAATGGGATCCGTTCCGGAGCCCCGTTTGCATCCTGAGCAGAACGCAACCCGCGTCTGCGCGTCGCAATTCACTGCTTCTGCGCATGACGTCATTTTGCTCGTCTGCGCATACGCGAGCAGCGAAACCCAGAAGTAACCTGTTCCGTTACTTCCGGGTCGCTGCGGAACGCAACCTGAAAACGCTCAACCTGAAGCTACTTTAACCCGAGGTATGACTGTAATTTAGAAACTTTCACCACTTTGGAACTAAACCAAGTTTTACTTCCTGTGCAATTTTTCTGAATGCTGCATGGAAAAGCACATGAATCTGACATTTGGAGAATTTGTAAGTAAACCATTTTTAACATTTTTAACCAAATGTGTGTTCTTTTTTGTGTGCCAGGGGAAACTTTTGGAACTCACTTTAAAGGACATATTTTTAAGGTCTAAATCCTATATTTCTGTACACCACTTAAGAGAGGTTCAGAATTACTTTTAAATAAACATAAATAAAAACCAGTACATGTTGCCACTATTCAATAGCTAGCTATAATAAGTGTCAAATGTATTGCTCTGCTTTCCTTTAGATCACATCAGTGAGGTCAAGTGGGGGGGGCTTGCCGTCTGGGGAGCCATCCACACTGCCCGGCTTGCACCCTGGGGAGGTCACTTCAGTGCTGCTAATGCAGCAAAAACAATGTGGGAGGCAGCAGTCATGAGATACAGGTCTCTGCAGCCACAGCAGGTGATGCGATTCTCCAGCGGCTTGAATTCACCCCTGGAGGCACTTTCCATTGTCTCTTGAGCCAGACGGAGGCCAACAACAACATCTTTCCACCTGGAGTTGTTTGCTCCCCATATTCTAAACCTTCCAGAGGGCAATGATTGTGATGCAAGAGGGTTTTTAAAAATAAAAATAGGAAACTGCCTTACGCTAGTAGTTCCACCACTGAGCTATTACCCTTCCCTACTGTATTATTACAACACACAAGCAATTCATGGGACAATGCGGCGCTTGGAAATGACTGTGCCTTCCTGAGCAAAGTTCTCTGTTCACTCGTTGGTGCCTGCAGCCTCAGGGGCGTTTAAAAAAGGAAAGGGGAAGGCGTTCAAATGGAAACACTCACAAAATGGGTAAGTGCACAGCTTGTTAAGTAAACAAAGGCAGGAACAGAGGCTTTTCAAGAAACGCCTTTTTCCCAACGGCAGAGGTGCCAGAAGCCTGGCCATCAAAGGCACAGAAGTGAGACGCAAACATCTTGCTCCCTTGCCCTTCGCAGCTGCAGATCCTGCACAAGGCTTCTGTTTCTTTGGACAGACTTAGCAGCAATTTGGCGCAGGCGGGACAGTGTGAATTGGCTGCCACTGACCCCACCTGTCCTGAGAGCGAGTTTCTGGGGTGGTGGTGGGAGACAAAGCTGGATACGGTGTGGGCAGCAATGAAGAAAAATCTTAGCAGCAACGACGGGTGCCAGAATAGCAGGGAAAGAAAAGGATGTGAGCTCGTTTGCTCCTTACCCTTCTGAGCTGAGGCTTCTATTCTCTAAGACAAATTATTAACACTCATTTGCTGGTGATTTGGTATAGGTGACATGTGCGAATTAGCCCAAAGAGGCAGGCCAAGAAGATTCTTCATCCTGAGGGTGTGTTTGGGGATGGGGAGAGAAGCCAGGCAAGCTGCAGGCAGGGGGCTGCCCAGTGATGGTCAGTGGGGCGAACCACGAGGGGTGGCGGTCAGCGACTGCAGTCATATGAAAGAGGCAAATAGATAAAGGCCCGGGTACGAGATGGGGAAGTGGATGATGATGATGATGATGATGATAATAATAATAATAATAATAATAATAATAATAATACCCCGCCCACCCATCTGGCTGGGTTTCCCCAGCCACTTTGAGCGGCTTCCAACAAAGATTAAAAATACATTAACATGTCACACATTAAAAACTTCCCTAAACAGGGCTGCCTTCAGATGTCTTCTAAATGTCAGGTAGTTGTTTATCTCTTTGACATCTGGTGGGTGCTCCACAGGGCGGGCGCCACCACCAAGAAGGCCCTCTGCCTGGTTCCCTGTAGCTTTGCTTCTCGCAGTGAGGGAACCGCCAGAAGGCCCTCGGCGCTGGACCTCATGTTGCCGCCCTCCAGACGTCTTGCAGAGGCAGTCACAAAGAATAATGATCACAGGATCCAGGTCAGTTCATATGGGGAGAAGCAGTCTTTGGGGTATTGCGGTACCGTTTAAGGCAGGGGTCTGCAACCTTTAAGACAAAAAGAGCCACTTGGACCCATTTCCGAAGGAAAAAAAAACTGGGAGCTGCAAAACCATTGTGACATTTAAAACAAATATATCTTCGGAGCCGCGATCTGACAGCGGGCGGGAAGGTGACGTCGGGACGGTGCATGACTAATGCACGCACCGCCCCCATGCGACGTCACAGCCAGTACAGCGCCCGCCACAGTGGGAAGTGTCGGGGCGCACAATGCACCTCCTCCCCTTGCTAGTATCCGCCCCAGAGCCGCGGCAAAGGTGTAAAAGAGCCACATGCGGCTCCGGGGCCGCAGGTTGCAGACCCCTGGTTTAAGGCTTTATAGGTTAAAAAAAAGCACTTTAAATTGGGCCTGGAAATTAAATGGCAGCTGGTGCAGTTGTGGCATCATTGTGTCGTATGCTTGAACTGTCTTGTCCTGTGAGCAACCTGGTTGCTGAATTCTGTACCAGCTGAAGATTCCTAGCTGTCTTCAGAGACAGCCCCACATATAACGTGATGCAGTAATCTAACCTTGAGGTTTTTATTATTGAGGAGAGCAAGAGCTGGACCATAAAGAAGGCTCATCGCCAAAGAATGGATGCTTTTGAATTATGGTGCTGGAGGAGACTCTTGAGAGTCCCATGGACTGCAAGAAGATCCAACCTCTCCATTCTGAAGGAAATCAGCCCTGAGTGCTCACTGGAAAGACAGATCCTGAAGCTGAGGCTCCAAGACTTTGGCCGCCTCATGAGAAGAGAAGACTCCCTGGAAAAGACCCCTGATGTTGGGAAAGATGGAGGGCACAAGGAGAAGGGGACAACAGAGGACGAGATGGTGGGACAGTGTTCTCGAAGCTACCAGCATGAGTTTGACCAAACTGCGGGAGGCAGTGGAAGACAGGAGGGCCTGGCATGCTCTGGTCCAGGGGGTCACGAAGAGTTAGACATGACTAAACAACAACAACATGGGTCAGGAGAGACCTCTACCTGCTGTCAACAACCTGGGGGGCTTATCAAAGCTGTCCCGGCCCACCTTCCCCAAGTTCTCCCTTAAGACGTTCTCTTCAGCTCTGTATATTCTTCCCGTTTCCATTTTATGCCTTTTCATTTCTCAGTATTTCCACACTTAACTGGTTTTTCAAAGGTGCTGCATTTTATATGGCTGAATTATGACAAAGTTGTTATTCGGCAATCTTGCGTAGGCAGAAAAGCACGGCAGCTTCATAAATAAAAATACGCTCTTCAGTGGAAATATCCAAACTAAATCCTGTGTGATTTAACAGCTGGGAGTGTTAGGCTAGGACCCGGGAGAGAGACCTGGGTTCGAATCCCCACAAAGCAACCTAGGATTAAGCTTGCTGTACCTCAGGCCAACATACTTCACAGGATGTTGCGGGAGTAAAATGGGGAGGAAGGGAACCATGTTGAGCTCTTTAGAGGAAAAGGGGGCATATAAATGCAATAAATAAACAAAACAAAATCCATAAACTCGCTTAAATTTACATAAAGAAAAATTATTCTCCTTTTGAAGGCGGTTGTCCCATCAGGGCAAGAAGAGTGTGAGGCTAAACATCCCACTGGAATAGCTGTCAACTTTTTCCTTTGCTTGCGAGGAATCCTATTCGGAATAAGGGAATTTCCCTTAAAAAAAAGGAAAAAGTTGACAGCTATGCCCACTGGTTGAGGGAACCAGCGGCAGGGGGGTAAGCTTGAGGGGAGAGTTAGGGGACTAACAGCACAAATGAGAGCTGGTGTGTCAGTCACTGTGTGAAGGCCTTTCATAAGCCACGCCACCCCACATGGACACGTGTGGGTGATGGGGCTCGTTCCATTCCCCGCTGGTGGGAATGAATGCCTTTGTCCTTCTCACTGTAATACTGCTCCATTGACAGAATCTAACTCTATTGAGTTCCCCGAAACCATAATGTCTATGATCTGCCTCCACAACTGGAAGCCGCAATGTTCCAGAACACCAGCTGCTGGAAGCTGCAGAAGACTCGTGGTCATAGACCAGGGGTCAGCAAACTTTTCAGCAGGGGGCGGTCCACTGTCCCTCAGACCTATATTTTTTTTTGGGGGGGGGGGAGAAGAATGAATTCCTATGCCCCCACAAATAACCCAGAGGTGCATTTTAAATAAAAGCACACATTCAACTCATGTGAAAATACCAGCAAGGCCCCACAAATAACCCAAAGATGCATTTTAAATAAAAGGACACATTCTAACTCGTGTAAAACATGCTGATTCCCGGACCGTCCGTGGGCCAGATTTAGAAGGCGATTGGGCCGGATCCAGCCCCCGGCCGGGCTTTAGTTTGCCTACCCATGGCACAGACAGACCTTTCCTCCTCCAAGAATTTGCCCAGTCCTCTATGTTGGTGGCCACCAGTGCCACCTTTGGGAGCGAGTTCCAGAATTTACCTGTGTGCATCTTTACGTGTCCTGCATGTCCTGTCCTGGCAAAAGCGCCTGCGCAGGGATGGGGACAGGGGGCAGCCTGGGGCCGGAAAGAGATGCCTGGAGGGCCGCATCTGATCCTTGGGGTTGAGGTTCTCCACCTCTGCCTCATAGCTTGTGGCACACAATGTAGGCCAGTTCTGTCGCTAGGGGTGAGCTCCTTGTTCAAGGCTCCCTTTTGGCCCACGCAATCAGCTTTTCTAGCAAGGAATCCTTTCTTTCCCCATCAACAGGCTATTATCCAAGAGGAGGGAGTGTTTCCACTTCACCAAACACACTTTATCTCTTTCTTGGACTCTGAGAAGGTGAACAAATCCGCTTCCGTTTCTCTGAACTGCATCTTCCCGGAATACAAAGGACGCGGCGAACAAATGCCAATTCCACCCTCCGTGGCGTTGCAGAACTAATCTTGTCCGTTGCCATTCCGCGGAGAGTTTTAGCCCAGGAATTTGGTCAATGTGCAGCAAAAAAACAAATCAAGCTACCTTATCGTTAATTAATTCAGTATTGTTATGACTAACGCCTTCCTGTGTACGTTTTATAATCCTTATTTCCTTTACTCTTTGGGGCTCTGTGACGGAAAAGCTTCAGAAAAGGGCAGCCAAAATCACCATGTGGCCAGACCAGCTCCTGTTATGAGGAAAGGTTGCAACATTTGGGTTTTTCAGGTTAGAGAGATCTCTGGAAGGCTGTCACATGGAAGCTTGTATCCTGCTGTTCCAAAGGGTAGGACCCGAAGCAATGGCTTCAAGTTACAAGAAAGGAGATTCTGACTAAACCTTAAAAAGAACTTTCTATAGATGGTATCCATCACCGGTTAAATTTGCAAAAATGTATAAAAACGAAAAGAAAGAGTGTTGGAGATGTGAAACAGAAGGTACGTTTTATCATACGTGGTGGGATTGTAAAAAGGTAAAACTGGGAAATGATATACAATGAATTGAAGAAAATGTTGAAAATAACTTTTGTAAAAAAACCAGAAGCCTTTTTGCGAGGTATTTTAGGCCAAGACATACCAAAAGAAATGAGGAAGAAATTATTTATGTATGCCACTACAGCAGCAAGAATATTGATTGCACAAAATTGGAAGACTGGAGAAATACCAACTAAAGAACAATGGCAAGAGAAGTTGATGAACTACGCAGAACTGGCAAAAATGACAGATAAAGAGAAAAGGACAACAGAGACTTTGAAAAAGAATGGGGACTATTCTCAATCTGTTAACCGCCATCCATCCTCCAACCGCCTCCAGGCACTCACACAGATTGTATTATATTATATTTGCAGAAACAAAGAAAGTCAATAGACTTGATGGCAGGATTTAAATTAAGATTCACATTATTATTAGAAAATAGTGAAATATTATGGTGTATTTACTTTGATTTTTATGTTTTTAGGCTTGATGTTATGTTATTAACAACTTTTTCTGTTAGGAGATAGCAAAGTGGGTGAAAAGAGAAACAAACCAGAAGCGGAAGTTGGGTGAAGCCCTGGAGGGGAGGGAGGAATATATAATAAATGTTAAGAATCCGAGATGTATGTAATGAATGAAAAAGAAAAATGATTATTATTTTTTTAAAAAAGAACTTTCTGAAGAAGAAGGAGGGGGGAGAGTGCTCTTGTGCCCAAAGGAGGGGGAGAGTGCTCTTGTGTTTGAATCACGCTTGAGCAGCGGTCAGCAACCTTTTTCAGCTGTGGGCTGGTCCAGCATGGTGGATTTCATTTACAACACACTGAAACCCCCAGGAGGTGGGAGGGCCATTGTGCTCAGGCCCTGCTTTCAGGCTTTCCATGGGCATTTGGTTGGTCACTGTGAGAACGGGCTGCTGGACTAGAGAGGCCACTGGCCTCAACCAGCAGAAGAGTTTGGATTTGATATCCCGCTTTATCACTACCCGAAGGAGTCTCAAAGCGGCTCACATTCTCCTTTCCCTTCCTCCCCACAACAAATGCTCTGTGAGGTGAGTGGGGCTGAGAGACGTCAAAGAAGTGTGACTGGCCCAAGGTCACCCAGCAGCTGCATGTGGAGGAGCGGAGACGCGAACCCGGTTCCCCAGATTACGAGACTACCGCTCTTAACCACTACGCCACGCTGGCTCTCTGAGGGTAACGGCTGTGGACTCTCCTTCCTTGGAAGTTTCCAAGCAGAGGTTGGATGGCCATCTTTCAGGGATTCTTTAGCTGTGATTCCTGCATTGATGGGGTTGGACTGGATGACCCTTGGAGCCCCTTTCAATTCTATGATTTTACGTGGGATCACTGGTGCAGCCATGTGTAGCATTTGCTGTGCTTTTGAACTGTGTTCTGCCTGGGTATCACACCAATGTGAGTATTAAAAAGCTTTTGGTAGACCCTGCTACCGGATCTCAAGTTTGGCGAGAAGGAGCAAGGATGTCTCCTTTGAAAGCCCCCTCTCCTTACCTGTTGGTGTCTCTGGCCACATCCTCATAGACACTCTGCACGCCAATCTCCAGCCTTGTGCAGCCGTATGACAACATATCGCTCAAGTGGCGTTTCAGGCAGTAATCCGGCCGGGTCTCTATAGTTATGCCAATGCACTTTGTAAGGCTTCGCTCAGAGTATCTGCGGGTCAGAGACAGGGGTTGGGGTTGGGAAGGGATGCAGAAGAGAGAAATATAAGTGAGGTCTCTGCTACATTGAGCCAAGGCGGTTAATATTACGGTCCAAAAAACAAAGAGGCCCCAAACAGGAGACGTGTCACAACTGGCAAGGCTGGCATTCCTTGTAACAGTTGGGTTTGCAGCATATGGCTGGCAAATTGTGTTTATGACAATCGTGACGGATCTGCATTCAGAACCGCCTGATTACAATACAAATCCCCCATCATCTGGGCGCCCTGGAAACAGACAGCTTTCGCTGACGGACAGGCTGGCAGCCGATCTCACCAGCAGATGGCTGTGGCTTCGGAGAACGTTGTGAAATTCGATCTCATGGAAAGGCCGTGGAGAGGGAGGATATCTTCTTGGGCATTTTTCTTTTTGAAAAAGATGCCCCTAAGTTTGCCGAGGCTGCTTCGTACATCCTGTTCCGCAGAAGAATTAAACCTACTCCGCAGGTCTCTCCCCCCCCATTTTGGACGTACAAACCAAGATACTGACTGTTAGTTAGCGCAAGGACTTCCACTATCCTCTCCATGCCCTGCTAGCTGCCCCCCCACATCCCACAATCTGTGTGAGTGCCTGGAGGCGGTTGGAGGATGGATGGCGGTTAACAGATTGAGATTGAATCCTGACAAGACAGAAGTACTGTTCTTGGTGGACAGGGGGTGGGCTGGTGTGGGGGACTCCCTGGTCCTGAATGGGGTAACTGTGCCCCTGAAGGACCAGGAGCACAGCCTGGGAGTCATTCTGGACTCACAGCTGTCCATGGAGGCACAGGTCAATTCTGTGTCTGTGGGTTAAACTACAGGACTTGCTGATCAGAAGGTCGGCGGTTCGAATCCCCGCAACAGGGTGAGCTCCTGTTGCTCGGTCCCTGCTCCTGCCAACCTACCAGTTCGAAAGCACGTCAAAGTGCAAGTAGATAAATAGGTACTGCTCCAGCGGAAAGGTAAACGGTGTTTCCGTGCGCTGCTCTGGTTCGCCAGAAGTGGCTAAGTCATGCTGGCCACATGACCCGGAAGCTGTACGCCAGTTCCCTCAGCCAGTAAAGCGAGATGAGCGCCGCAACCCCAGAGTCGGTCACGACTGGACCTAATGGTCAGGGGTCCCTTTACCTTACAGCAGACCAACACGGCTACCTACCTGTAACTAGCAACCACACAGTTGTTTTAAACTGTTTTAATGGTGTGTTTTGAATCATTGTAACCTACCCAGGGACTTTAGGGTGAAGGGCGGGTAATAATAACTCCCACCGGGTGCCGTCCAGCTGTTTTGGACTACAACTCCTATCAGCATCACACAGCCTTACCGGCCAGGGCTGCTGAGAATTGTCGCCCCAAAGGGCTGGAACATACCAGGCTGGTTTGTCATTATATGTGCAAACTGAGCTATTAAGAACATGAAACCACTTTGCGACAATTTTGGGAATCTGACCCACGTATTGGTTAGCTCACTGTAAATCATTTTTAAAATTGCAACCCAGGGAACACCTATATTCCTCATAAACTTGCCAGGATTACCTCCGTGAGAACAATCAGTAATAGAGGTGCTCTACAGACATCTCTTTTAAAGGGAGAGGTACAAAGCCCATCATTTTGCACTGGCTTTGGGGGAACAGGGCTGCTCTTATCAGACTCGTTATTTTGCTATTTCAGCCGAGTGAGTTCATATTGTACTCTTACGCTTTTAATTGGTTTTTATATTGCCTTCTATAAGTTTCGAAGTCTGCCTCCAGCTGTGTAGGAGGAAAAGTGGAGTCACATGCATTGAGATCCATAGGGGAGGGGCCTTCCTTGCAGCCCAAACCCTGCTCCGATGCTGCCAGGTGAATCTTCATTTGAATAGCAAGCTCCAAGTGCTACAAATCCCCATGAAACCCCACTGCAGAAGATTGTGTGCTGTTTGGCCACCTGGAAAGGAATCCGCTGCTAGGATCTACTAGAAGCAAATGCTAAGACCCTGCTGGAATGTCTTTTCTAAATGCACAGTTTTCTATGTTTGAAAGATAACAATACATAACTTGCATCCCAATAGCCCCTGGGTACAGAATAAGCAGGTGGCGCTGTGGGTTAAACCACAGAGCCTAGGGCTTGCTGATCAGAAGGTCGGCGGTTTGAATCCCCGCGACGGGGTGAGCTCCCGTTGCTGGGTCCCTGCTCCTGCCAACCTAGCAGTTCGAAAGCACGAAGTGCAAGTAGATAAATAGGTACCACTCTGGCGGGAAGGTAAACGGCATTTCCGTGCGCTGCTCTGGTTCGCCAGAAGCGGCTTAGTCATGTTGGCCACATGACCCAGAAGCTGTACGCCAGCTCCCTCGGCCACTAAAGCAAAATGAGCGCCGCAACCCCAGAGTCGGCCATGACTGGACCTAATGTTCAGGGGTCCCTTTACCTTACAGAATAAGCAGTCTTCCTCTTTGGCTACCTACCCAACTCTGCAGACCCCCAAATCATCTTAAAGCTAAAGGGACCCCTGACCCCTGACCCCTGACATGGATGCTTGGAGAGGTAGGATGGCCACCTGTCAGGGCAACTTTAGTTGTGATTCCTGCACTGCAGGGGGTTGGACTAGATGATCTTTGGGGGTCCCTTACAACTATGATTCTATTCAACAGTCCAGAGAGCCCCATCCCATCCTCTCTCTTTTTCATGGCCACGGCCACCCCCTGCCTACTCTCTCTCCTCCATGAGATCCAAAATACAGGCTTTCAGCTTCAGCCAAGCCCAGCCTTGCAAGACAGAAGCAGGTTCCAGATGTCTTTCTGTTTTCAGCGAATGAATGATTGAGCGCTAACCTTCAACCGATGACTAATACACAGTGCGTGCACACACCCCAACTAGGCGGCTGGAGGCAAAGGGTAATGTTATTGGATTCGAGTCTAATCATATTACTTTGAAGTTGTAGGAGAGGTACTTTAGGAGGAAGAACACAATTAAGGGCTCCGAAACAACACAAAATGTTTTATATATATATATTATTATTCATGCATTAATCATAATATCACTTTCAGGCATCCATCTACTCACCGCTGAAACACTGCATTGCAGTAACTGGTTTGTTGGAATAACGCTATGCAGCAGGTTACAGCTGGAAGAAATTAACTTAGCAGGACTGCACTGGTGGATATCACGGCTGGGCTGCCCCTACCCCAAATAAGCTGTTGTGTACCTTGATGCTTTCCTAGACTTCAACTACCAACCAGATCTATTTTTGAGGGGCACGTTTGGACTGGTATCCCACTCTATCCCTTTGACTCCAGACAGGAAATTGGGGAGTCAGTATGGTGTACTATGACCTGAAAGACCATGGTTTTGGGTTTCCCCCCAACCCTCCAGAGCAGATTTGGGGATAGTGTGGGCAGAGGGAGGAGAGGAATTCCTGTTGCACCCGTGGGAATCTTTGTGGTGACTTTTGCCAGCGCAGTGGGTTGCAGCCCAAGGAGTTTGAAGCATTACTCCCACTACTCAGCCAGTGACTGTTAACAAACGTGAGTCAAAACGTGGCCACTGAACAGCTCCCACAGTGGGCACGTTCCTAGCAAAGTTTCCAAAGGTTCTTCCAGGGAGTAGTATCCTGACATCCTAAAGCTGTGTTCTTCAACTTTGGGTTCCCAGGTGGTGTGTCGGACTACAACCCCATCGCCCACAACCAATGAGACAGGATGATGAGAGTTGTAGTCCAACAACATCTGAGGACTCTCAAGATGAGGAATAGCTTTCCTTCACCAGCTGCCCTCCAGACAGTGTGGACTACAACTCCCATCGTCCACAGCCAGATTAGCCAATGGGACAGGATGATGGGTGTTGTAGTCCCAACAACATCTGGGGACCTAAGGTTGAAGAATATTGTCCTACATTACTTCACGCAGTTGAGTACCAGCACTCAATATGTAGGGACACGGGTGGCGCTGTGGGTTAAACCACAGAGCCTAGGACTTGCCGATCAGAGGGTCGGCGGTTCGAATCCCAGCGACGGGGTGAGCTCCCGTTGCTCGGTCCCTGCTCCTGCCAACCTAGCAGTTCGAAAGCACGTCAAAGTGCAAGTAGATAAATAAGTAATGCTCCGGCGGGAAGGTAAACGGCGTTTCTGTGCGCTGCTCTGGTTCGCCAGAAGCGGCTTAGTCATGCTGGCCACATGACCCGGAAGCTGTACGCCGGCTCCCTCGGCCAATAAAGCGAGATGAGCACCGCAACCCCAGAGTCGGCCACGACTGGACCTAATGGTCAGGGGTCCCTTTACCTTTACCTACTCGATATGTAGTATGGCTGGCCAAGCCAGGGCAGTGGGACTCTGTGGTGATGCCACTGCCCGGGGCTGGAACACAAGGACCCATAGAAACCAAGAGCCCCGCGGGACCCTGAAGGCTAACAAATGTATTGCCGTGTAAGCATTTGTCAGGCGACTTAGGCTGAATGTAGTATATTTACGGTGACGCATGCCTCTGCTGAACTGGCCCCCTCCTCTCCCTTTGGCAGCTTTGTCTGCATCTCAGGGTGTTCTTGTGAAGATAAAGAAATCGAAAAGATCTTCCCGGCCCTGAAAGGAGCTGCCAGAGCAATGAATACAGAAAGCCGCTCTTAAGGTTAGCTGGTTAATGACTGAATTGGACAAAGGAGGGACGGCTGACAGAATAGCTGAACTCCCTTTTGTCACGCAGGCAATCGACAGAGAAGTCAAAGAAAGGATTCTGTTGGGCTTCCCAAGGCCATAAGGCACCAGCATTATCGGAGGCCAAGGACACACTTCCCAGGCAGGCATAAATGTTTTAAGTACCAGGCAAAGCAGGACTGGAGAGGAGTTCTGGCCTGGAGAGCCCTGGAAGGGCACATTTGGCCCACGGTCCTGAGGTTGCCCACCCCTCAAGTAAAAGAATGTACAGTAGTACCTCTGGATGTGAACAGGATCCGTTTTGGAGCCCTGTTCACATCCTGAAGCGAACGCAACCCGCGTCTGTGCGTGCGG